GAGAATCTATCGTAATCTCGCTCGACTTCAAAGTGCGAAGAGGGTGTCAGCTCGTGAATGGATGTGGAGAGCACAGCTAGAGCTGTCTGTCTCCTTTGCAGTGAGAAAAGCTAGGGACACCGATGTTGACTCTTGGCCTCTCAGAGAGTTCCATATCAACTGACCTTCTTCGAACTTCTCACCTGTTTTCTATTAATATCCGCAATCCAACTTGGAACGGGTGATTCAAGTCAGGAACAGCTGTCTTCAGAACACAGATCAGGGCTTGACTTTTTCTTTCTCCCATCTCTTCTTTTCAACGATTTCCTATTCTTTTATCATTCTTTTGGACGGAGAAAGCCGGTTACGATCTTGAAAATCACGGTGGCAATGCGTGGCTTCCGTTTGAGACACGTTCGTCGCAGGCGTTTTATAATTTATTGGGCTTGTCCCACCTAATATGCTTTGTCCGGAATGCTAAAAACGTGTGGTATATATCTTGACAAGTTTGCGATCATATGGTGTACAGACATCAGAATGATGTTAGTAATACCGGGATTGATCAAGTCGTCGGCACAAGTGAGCACGTGGCTGGAGCATGGAGTTTATGCGTGATGCATTGTTGACGATTACAAAGATCGATATCGATATTAGTGCATGTCAATAATCGCCACCAATCAGTCGTCGATATACAAAGACGAGTGATTAACAACGATCAACGAGAGTATCAATAAGTAAGGATTAGTAAATGGTCAAGATGTTAGGAGAAAGCTGAATACATAAGAGGCATTGAGATACAGTTACCATTTCGAAGTCACTGGAGAACAAAACAGTTTAGATCGCTGAGCAACTGGCATGTGTTTTTGGAGGAGCAACCGTCCAAGAACAAGATCATCGTGTCGTGAGAACACGGGCACAAAATTATCGGAAATGAAAGAACATGAATACAACATCTGGAAACTGCTCGGAAGCGATTATGGCATTGCCACTATAAATACCATCACTCATCTACTTGAGAGCCACCCACACAAATAAAACAAATTTATCTATCTTTAGTTAGCACTGTACTTTTATTTTCCAGACTCGCATCGTCGATTAAATTTCGGCATGTATCTTTATCCCGAGTGTTGCATCGTTGATTAAATTCCGATGTATCGTCTTTGCGTGCTCAGGTTTTGTCGTCGATTGAATTCTAGCACAGTTTGTTTACACTCGGTTCCATCATAGAGTTTATACTTTCCAGACTTTATCTGCGATTAAATTCCAGCACAGCTTGTGTTTGTACAGCCCCATTCGAATTCAAGTAGTTGATTTCTTCATCACCCGTGATAATTCCTGTCCGGAATCAGCACAAAACCTGTCTCCTTCAATTAAAAGCCGAAGAACGACTTTCGGTAAAAGATATTTTGTCGCGGGGGAAATTCTGGCGAAACACTTAGTATAATTATTGCAGCTCCAGCCGGAGAACCAAGGTTGAAGGGACTGAATCGACCTTGGTTTTGCTTCGGCCTCGCTAACTCTTTAAGGTTTGGCCCAATTCAAAAGGGAAAAGACGGCCCAAATCTTGGAATAAATGGACCAAGATGGAGTATTGTAAATTGGACGAAGACGAAGAACGAATCCGATACTTCATTCCGAACTAAAGCCCGGGCCAAGTTTGACCCGACCCACGAGAAAGAAAAGATGGTGCCCCGAGTCAAATTGGAAAAGCCGGGTTCTACTTTCGATGAGTAAGTGCAATTGATCGATTGAATGGGCTAGTAAAACTACTTAGCATCAGCCTATGGTCCATTGATGAATGATTCTCTGGCTGTAGTTTCGTATCTTAACGACACAATACAAAGTGTTGTTTTATGAGTACTTACAAAGTATTCAAGTAACCGATTGAGATCCATTTGCTATTACTATGGACCAAAGAAAGTCCTTCGTGAGATTGCAATACAAGCGCTTTTGTTCTTTGTTCAATGGGCAAACATAGACCCGTGATTGAATCAAAAGAAGTGAACTTATGGAATTCGAATAGAATTGGTCTAGAAAAGAGATTAGCACTCCAAATACCAGAAGTAAGTGCACACAATTCACGTTATTTTTCGGGGCGAAACTACAATTTCTATTGTTGCGTCGGTCAATTCTGGTCTACCGATGCAAATTGAGGCTCATATATCAAATCACTTATATATATATATATATATATATATATATATACATTAAGTGATAAGTCAATCTTCTACTAAGTATCATAAATAGGAAAAATTGTCCAAATTGCGTTTTTGCCAATTTAGTTCTAAACCTTTTAATTGTGTCAATTGAGTTCTAAACATTTTTACGTTTTGCCAATTGATTTCATCCAGCCAATTTTGGTCGAAAAATCACTGACATGGATGCTGGACGTCCATCGTGGCACAGCCGGTGTTGACGTGGACAATTTTTACTAATATTTTGAATTTTTTTTCCGAATTTTTCCTTTTTTTTCTTTGCTTCTTCCTCTATTCGGTCGCTGGGCCACTCGACCTTGCCCTTGCTAGTGGCCGACGAGGGCGAACTTAACCAAAGGCCAGCGAGGTTGACCTTGCCAACCCTTGCCAACGACCGGCTAGAGGAAGAAGCGAAGAAAAAAAAGAATAAATAAATAATTAATTAATTCAAAAAAATATTTAAACATTATTAAAAATTGTCCACGTCAGCACCCGCTATGCCATATAGAACGGTCGGCGTTCACGTCGGTGATTTCCGGTCAAAATTGATCGGATGAGCTCAATTGGGTAAACATGAAAAAATGTTTACAATTCAATTGGCGTAATTAAAATGATTAGAACTGAATTGCCAAAAACGTCGTAAATTTTGGACTTGGTGCATCAATTTAATCGTTGACTTACGCTATGCTATGTCGTTTGAAACATTTTTAATGCAGCTAGCAATCATCGGTTCTCTTGTCTTCTAGCATTCGAATAGAAGCAGAAGTTGAATCCAACGAGGCGAAGCGCAAAATTTCCCGCCAGCTTCAGCCTGTTGATTCTTTCTTTTGGCCTTCTTCTGCACATTAACTCCAAGAACAGTCCTTGACAAACACGACAAGGAAGCTAATGCACGGACGCACTCAATCCCACCCACCCGAATTCCGATGAGGAGGAAGAAAAGCGATTCTCTTCGTCTCTCGTCCCCAAAAGAGAGTGGAAAAGGGGAGAACGCCAAAAGCAGACGCCCCCCTTTTTCTTGGATTCACATTGGCCACAATCTATTGCACTTCATTGGCCAAATTCCCTAAAAAACCCCAAACTTTAATCTTTATCTCAATTATATCCCAAACTTTTTTTTGTCTCATAAAAAATCCCAAACTTTTACTTTTGTCTCAAATCTACCCCGTTTACTATTCGTCTAATTTTTTAATATTATTTTTTATTTTTTCGAATTTTTTTCTTTTCTTTTCTTTTTCCTTTCCTTTTCTTTTTTTTTTATCACCTTCAACCTCCTGGCCGGTCGCCGGTCCAGCCTCAGCCGAAGGCGGCCTGGCGAGGTCGGCCCCGCCGGCCGCCGGCGAGGCTCGGCCCGCCGGCGGCTGGCGAGGTCGGCCTCGCCAGTTCTTCGGGCGAGGCCGAGCCTCGCCAATGGCCGGGGCCGAGCCTCGCCCCCAGGCTGCGAGGTTCACCTCGGCCGACCTCGCCGATTCTTCGGGCGAGGCCGACCTCGCCAAGCGGCCGGCGAGGCCAAGCCTCGCCGGATCCGGGCGAGGCTCGGCCGAGGCCGAACCTCGCAACGACGAGGCCGACCTCGCCAGTGCCGGCGGGCTGGCCTCGCCAGATCCGGCGACCTCGCCGGCCGGCGAGGCTCGGCCTCGCCCGAACGGCGAGGCCGACCTCGCACCAGTGCCGGCGGGGCTACCTCGCCGGCCGCCGGGCGAGGCTCGGCCTCGCCCAAAGAACGCGCGAGGCCGACCTCGCCGGGCCGGCAGTGGCTCGGCCTCGCCTGAAGAACGACGAGGCCGACCTCGCCACCGGTGCCGGCGGGCCGAGCCTCGCCCGGCGGCCGGCGGGCCGACCTCGCGGCCCCGCTCTGGCAGCGTCAGCCAGGGCCGGCGACCGGCCGAGGTTGAAGGTGATAAAAAAAAGGAAAGGAAAAAGAAAAGAAAAGAAAAAAATTCGAAAAAATAATATTAAAAAATTGGATGAAAAGTAAATGGGGTAGATTTGGGACAAAAGTAAAAGTTTGGGGTTTTTTATGAGACAAAAAAAAGTTTGGGATATAATTGGGACAAAGGCTAAAGTTTAGGGTTTTTTAAGGAATTGGGCCTTCATTTTTTAGCATCGTAATCCGAATCAAATAGCAACGATTCGATATTCAAACTCGACTCGATGCTAATGTTTGGCGCTTGACGAGCTCGAACTCCTCGGGATTCAATCATTTCAGGTCACAACTCGCCTCGATTAGTGAATTAGATTGAGTCGAAGTTTGAAAACTAAAATCGAACCCGAGCTCAGATAATGCAACACGCACTACCTTTGACGGCAATATCCAATGCCTTCATGTCGCTTTGAATGAGTGAGGACTTGGGTCGGATCAACCTCAATCGGAGAGAGAATAGCGAATGTTTATGATATGCGAAATGCAATCACTTGATTAGGCTTGCGAGTTATTTGGTTCGAGTATTGTTCAAGCTCGAATTTGGTTCAAGCTACGCAACTCGGACTCGAAAAAGAATCGAGAGCGATCTCCTCTCCGGGTCGAATTCGAATGGGTTGCGAAACCAACTCGACTCGCGGTCTAGCTCGACACAACATAAAACCACGGTTCCATGGTCGTACCAAAACAAAATCATAACTCATTAACCAACAAAATAAGAAACCCACATCATGGATGGGACCAACTTATATTCTCAGTGCCAAGCCGACCAGTCGAACAAGAACATATGTACAACCTAGGCTCTTGATTTTCATCATCTTTTTTTGCCTTTTTTTCTTTGTTAATTTCGTGGAACAAAACCCTAATCTGCTCATGGCTATGGCGGGTGCAACGAAAGATTTCATTCACAGAAAGATGAAGCACTCCAACGAGACAAGAGGGTTATCGACGGACTCATTCCCCTGCTTCGAATCCCCGTCGTCTCCTCCTCCCTCCCCGCCCGTGTCGAAATCCTTCTTGTCCACGTCGCCGCCGGCCGACGCGGCCGCGGACCTGCCGCCGGCATTCCCGGCCTTCTTCAGCGGACTGCCCCCCGCCCCGCTCCTCCTCCCTCCACCGCCGTTCCTGGTCGCCGGCGACCTCGACCGCCGACCGAGGCCATCGCTCTGGTCTCGCCGCAATGCGGCAGTTGTAGTCCCCATGCGGCTCCGCTGCTGCATCGTCGTCGTCGCCGCCGCCGCCGCCTTGGGAAGCTCCGGCTTCTTCGCCGGAGATCTCGCCGCTCGTCTCGCCGGAGATCTCGCCGCTCGTCTCGCCGCCTGCTCTCCGGAGTAGGGACGGTTCCTCTGCAACTTCATGGGAGATCTCTTGATCACTCTCTGCGTGACTTCTCCTTCGTCTCTGCTCGTCACTTCGATCTCCTTCCTCTCGGCGACGGTAGTAGCAGTGGTCGCCGTAGTGGCACTGGCGGTGGAGAAGCTCTCGCCGACGCTGCATAGCTCTGAACACTCGGAAACAACTTCGGCGACATCCTCTTCTTTGTCTCCGGTCGGAGCTTGAGCTTCCAGTGTGCATTCTTGAAGCTTAGGCAAGAAAAGAGCCTCGGCTTTTGCACTGTCGTCGACTGTCGTTTGAGGTGGAGGGCGAGGTTTCGGCAGAGGTGTTTCGGAGAGGACTTCCTTGACGGCAACCTCCTCTTCATCTTCTTCTTCGACGAGCATGGCCGCGGCACGTGTCGCGTCGGCGTTCCTACATGGCATCGCCGGAGGGAACGGCGGAGAAAGATCGGGTCTCGAGGGCTTTTGGGCATGTGGGTGGCGGTGGGCGGAGCTGAAACAGCAACCCATCTCGGGGAGGGCTGGCTTAGGGTTCGTGAAAGTGTTGCTGCGAGCGTTTTGTGGTGGTTGGGTTGGAGGGTGAGACAGAGAGAGTATAAAGAAGAATTCAAAAGCGAGAACGGTCGAGAAAGGAGCGTCATCAGGGGGAGAGTAATCAGGAGGTGAACGTGGGAGACAGACGAATTATCGGTGATTAGGTTTGAATTCTACTCGATACGACAGCTTGGGGTTTGATAGGCTTAATAGGCACCACGTCGACACAATTTCGTTGAGGCCCAAAGCCCATTTTTTGCTCTTTTTGAAAGTTTTCAAAAGGGTGCTTCCAAAGGTGGACCACAAGAGAGAGAGATTACTAGCTGCCGGAGCTGATCGTTCGTCCCACGCCAGCAGCCAAAACTGTTCAGTTGGTGAAGGAACTGAAGCCAGTCTGGTGGAGTCCGTGAGTCCCTGGCTGCGGATATTTATGTGATTCTGGCCCCAAAATGCAATCCTTCGATTTTACTTTCTCTTGGTTGTTGGTTTCTTCTGATTTGATCTGTTAAGTTCATTGTAAGAATCTGAGCGAAAAAGTATTTATATGCAAGAGAAGTTAGTAAGGCGGAGCCGATGTCCAAATTATGACTATCATATTTTTGTAATATCGCGACGAGAAGCAAGGTCATATAATCACCAGCTAAACGGTATCAAACAGCAGTCATTATAGTTCGGTCTGATGACAATACAGTGATTAGGGTTTATTCTCATCCGGTCACTCGATATGACAAGTGGATATAGGTGGGGAGTTAAGCCACCATGGGACGACTTAACTCAAAATTGCTTTCAAGGGGTACGAGCTTTAACTATTAGACTATGTGATGGGATTGAATTTCAGCGAAGCTTGTTGCGGTCTTCTGAAGAGGGCTCGGCCATAAAAGCGGTTCGTATTGAACAATGGGTACTGGGAATTGAACCCGTAACCAATACGATCCAGACAGATTTTCAAAATGGGCTAACAATTCGAATTGTCTTATAAGCAATAGGATGTTCCATTTCCTTTTGGTTGAAATAGGATATCTCTTACTTGATGACTCTATCTATGCTTGACATGAGATTTGAGACCAGCATCCTTGAGGATCAGCTAGTTGACCAGCAATTAAGTTTAAATTAAATGGTTGTAAGTGAATTGAATATTCTACCTTAAATTTAGTATGATTATACTGCTATCACTTGCCGCAGAACTCAGTAATGTGGATAACGATGATGAAGCAGTTTATAAAGAGCCTTCTGCCTATGACAATTTGTTAGCGACTCTGGGGTCTAGCGGCAAATATTTCTCTGATGCTTATAGAAGAAGGTAATGGTACTATTCTCCCTTCCTCCCTTCTTTCCCCCGGTGGAAGTCAATTGCAAGATAGATGTTCTTACTACATTTTTGCTGAGGGCATCAGACAATATTGCTAGTCGTACTATCATATCGTAGTGTACATGGGTAATTATATCTGGGTAAGATATCCTTACCTGTGGCTTTATGTCGATTAATGTTGCTGCCGCTCATGCAATGTGAAATAAGTTCCATTAGATATTTGCTGCACAACAGCATGTCTTTCTGGTGAAAATATAGGAATAACCAAAAAGAGTGTAGAAGGTCACTTTGGAAATGACTTCACAGAAAGAGTGTTTATTAAACAGGTCTCAAAGAAAAATTGAAAAGAAAATGATCACCTGAGGCAAGAACAAGTTTGAATCAGTACAGAAAATGATGCATTCAGTACAACATGAGCTAGCACAAGTCTAAATGAATGTTGTGGTCTTCTAACCAACATATACTTAAAAAATTCTTACTACATAAGAAGTCCCCAGCAAAGGAAACATAGAAACACAAAGGTGTCGCCCATGATGACAAAGCACTCCCAGCATACAACGTTCAATACCATTCATGAACCAATTATTGCATATACGTTTCACAGAGGCATCCCATAGTCCCAATAAACATGTAAAACACAAATGCATCTAATATCTCAAATGCATGTAAACTCAACAACCCGTGTTCTTCAAAAATTACTTTCACATTGCATCAAATAATCTCAAATGCATTTCACATTGTTTCTAAATCAAGAAAGGAAGAGTAAAATGTGCAACTCAAAGCCACAATGAAACTGGCTTCGCATCAACGAACTATATCACGAAACATCTTAGCACATTACCATTCTGTCCAAAGACCATCCACTCTTAAGCGAATCCTTGCAATCTCCTTATCTCAAACCATGCTTCCAACAATTATCTATTGACCCAACTGTACATAAGCTCAAGAAGTTCCTTAACAACAGTTCAGTATGCATATACACACTTAAAGTAATCGCTTTGATGATTACTCGCAGAATAGCATCTGCGAGTATCTAACAACAGGCAACTAGAAAAAAAGGAAAGATTTGCAATACCTTCACGAACAATCCGAGAAACAACAAGCGAAACAATCCGAGACTTCACTCACGAAAAGAACATCAAAACGTATATCCCCTACACTTGCATCATCACTTCCAATACAGATCGACTATACCTACACTTTCTACGAGAAAACACACAACAGTTGTGACACGACATATGAACCAATCGAATGCAAAAGCGCATATATATCTCACCTGGAAGACGGCAGAGGAAGGGGTGACGAGCGAGAAGGAGGACTGGACGAGCTTCCGCTGGAGATCGGAGGAGGAGGCGGCGGCGGAGGCCTCGAGGGTCGCCGGAGACCTGCTTCGCCGTCCACTCGTCGCCGGAGCTCCTGCAGACGAAGGTGAGGACTCCCACTGTCTCCTCCTCCTTCGAGAAAGCGAACGCCAAGGCGGAGTTGAGAGCAGCGACGACGGCTTATTGGGTTTGTGGTTTATATAATTTACTCTTTTCCTTGTAATTTTCGGTATGTTTTTTTTTTTTTCTGGAGCACTTCAAGAGTAAAATTCTGAATTACTGAATTGATATAAAGATGCGCGTGCTGAAAAAAATGTGCACAAAAACTGATTTAAGCACCGTCTGATCGTTGTTATAAAATAAAATTGAGTTAAAAGGAAAATCAGCACCATGTTCGCTCAAGTTTTAAACTTTTTCTTTTAATGATGTTATGATGAGAGAGAGATTTTACTTATCAAATTTTCATTTCCATGTGATTTTTGTACCCAACCTCGGGCTGAATTTTTGGGCCAATTCTTCCGCCTGTGATCAAATTTAGTTCTTGAGCCATTTTTCAAAACCGTTTCTGATGTTCATTAAATTATATTGAAATTCAAGGTTCATGTTTTCCTCCCATGAATTGGTGGGTTTTCGAATAATAATAATATCTAGATAACCCAACTTTCATGCTTAAAAAATAAGAAAAAAGAGGCTCTTTTAAATGAGTCATTGCTAAACATTTACGATGCGAAATTTGAGTTATCCGGAAAAATCAATGAAAGATTATGGGCTAAATCATGCAAATTTATGTAGCCGATATACAATAGTAGGCCTATGGGGGGCCTCGCAGGTAATGACCTTGTCAATCGAACCATGGAACTAAGAGAAAATCACAGGGACATTAACATTTCCTCGTGCATAATTGAACCCTCGAACCAACAAGTTTCATTCGACGATACGTGAACTAGTAGCTAACACGTTCCTAGATGACTCGATGACCGTCAGCGTCGAGACCTCGAACATTAGGTTTACATTCGACCTATGACTTAGCTCTAAATTGATCGATATCAATTCCATACAAGACAAATCCTTTTCATCATAAACTGTGAACCTAACTTCGAAAGATCTTAAAAGGCGCATTTTTTTTTTCAGAAGTATCTCTCTAGTATTCTCAATTAGGTTACGACAGGTAGAGTTGGGGTTGAACTTCGTCATCCGAGAACTTCATCGAGAGGAGTAATTGTCGCATGAGATAGAAGTGAATGTGGGAGCAAGCAAAGCGCATGGCACCCTAAAAGCTGACACGGATAATGAAGGAAAAGCTCCCCCATATGGTCGACCAAATCGACATTACGGCGGTGTCGGCATTGGTACCATCATCAAGCTCACTTTCGCGCACACGGAATGAAATGATATAAGTACCAAGTCATTCACGCGTAGTAACCGGCTGAGGCCTGCAAAAGGATCGAGGTTGAACGCCCAGCGCTTCTTGGTACAGTATAGCAGAAACTAAATGGAAAACAGAACAAGGAATTAAAACAACAGTCGATACAAACATATTCCAGCAGATCTGAACTTCGAAGAACACATTTGACATTTTTCCAATACTCAAAGAGGTCAAAACTGCCAATATGCACAATACACTTCGTTTGCTGTAAGTTAGGGCTGCCCCCCTGAAGTACTCCATACAAGAAAAGACATGGAAACCCCTAGGCAAAACTGCTGATCCATCTCAGGATCTTCATTTCGTTCTCTCCTGTCTATTTCACAAAATTGGCTCGATATGCATCCACGAGCCCTAAAATCCTATACTATTTTCTTTTGGTTAAATAGATAAACCTGAATGGCATCCTCTGCTCACTAACTTCTACTATCGACCATAATCGATTAACAGAAAGCAAATACACTCTTCTCGGATGTTATCATCCTCTTCACAGCGGTGGAACCGACAATTCTCTCCAGCTGAATATAATCACCACAAACAATTAGAATAAGGCAGCGAATCGCTAATGCACAGTGCACATGAGCAATATCTTTATACTAAGTATGACACAAGAATCAAATCGAGAACATACTGTCTTTCCAGTTCACCAAATACACTGATTTGAAAAGTTTGAAATTAAGTACTATTCAGTGATCTCAAAGAACTAGTATTAACAGGAAACTTGGTCCTTGACTCAACTGCAAGAAGTGAAACCTTTTTTATTTGGCCATTAGAAGTGAAATCCTCGAGGGTATGAAACTTTAGCCATGATATGAACCTCTTAAGCCACCACTAAGCCTAAATAGTTTCCTGCTACTCAACAATGTAAAAAATATCCGCAAGAAGTGAAAGAAGTGAAACCCCCTTTTTTTTTTCTGGACAATAAAAATTGACCAACTCGAGGTTGAAATTTTAGCCATGGTACGAACCTCGAGCTAAATAGTTTTCTGCCACACCAATGTAAAAACTAATTAGATGTCACCAAAATCCTCAGATATCCACATTAAGGGGAAGAAAAGGTGCAAATTGATTTCAGCCATGTAGCTCCAACTGCATAGGTTCTTGAAATTTTAAAATCAAAAGAAGGAACAAACCCTTAAAACTGCTGATTTTTTCTAGAAAGGAAGTAGTTAAACAAGGTATCGAAACATGTTATTGGGAAGCGCACGCCATTGGAGATACACAGCTAGCTATCTTTAAGGAATGGCTAGTAGGATCTTAGAGAACCAAAATTTGTCCCAAGCGTCTGTTAAATGGCTTAAGCGGTATCTATACACAACACCTTAAGCTAAGGAATTTATAGATGGGTTAATCAAAACCAATATGATCAACGTCAACTTGAACACTAATTACATGTCTTGTGAAAAAGCGGTACCATCAAAGCCAGCCCTACCGATCTGTGCACAAAATAAGCGTGGACAGTCACACAATGATCGGATCAGATAGGAGCATATTCGAGGGGAAGCACGTGTATGGGTAGATCAACAATAAGACAAGAATAAACTGATTTGAACACATACAATGACGATCATCACATGCACTGATGAAAAAGATTTACGATTGGTTGCATATCAAAAGAGAAGAGAAACACATGAAAGTCCATATAACAATATCTTGAGTAACGGGATCAAGACAAACATCTCATGCTAAACACGGCAATGTCATCAGAAGATAAATGCAGCTCATATAGCTTACCCTACTTAGTGAGTAAACGTATATGAACTAATACACAATCGAGCTTGTATCCTAGCGCTATGTTTTGATGACATAGTGTTAGTATGCATTAACTTCCTTAACTCACCGAGTAGGGTAAGCTATATGAGCTGGATTAATCTTCTGATGCCATTTCATTATAACACATCAATGTCACACACAGACACTCCTATTCACTCAACGTATGTAATCACTACCCACAACCACCAAACACTATCGCATGATAAAAAAAGCAAGACCAGAAAGAGTTACAATCCATTCCTCGACGTATTATCTCACAGAAAAGTAAAATGAAGGACAGTACAGGAACAGCACATTACCCGGAGCTGATCAAAACGAGAAAAAAGCACTGTGCATGTCATGCCATGAGACCCCTCAAGCATATTTACAATCTGTCATCAGAAAATAAAATATCACAGCAGAAAAAACTAATGCAAATCATTAAAGAAAACATATATTGAGCTTGCATCCATAGTATGCAAATGATGCCCAATACCATACAATGATCAAATGCTGGGAAAAAAGAAGCAGCATGGAAAACAAATGTCTACCTCTGGATAGAACTCTTTCCTCTCAGGCAAAGAATAGATTATTAAATTTTGCATGCCTCGGATCTGTAGGCAAAAAAATAGACGAATTATTCAACAGTATGCATCAACAAAACGAAAGTATGAAAAGAGAGACCATGAATGAGGACTCAGAATGTAATATCAGAAGTTTTACAAACCGGTAAGCAAAACAATGTAAGCATGTAATTGTCACTTGAAAGGTTATTTTATGTCCCCCAAACATTAGTTAGCTAGATTAAGTATACAAGAGAATTTTTCATCCACTTGCAATTCCTTTGGTTCTCTTGAGAAAGTTTTTGGCAAAAAGGGCATCAAATGGGCCTACTCAATGTATTATATCAGTAATTGCAGCTGGTGCAATCAAATGGGCCTTGAGAAATTTTTCATCCACTTGCAATTCCTTTGGTTCTCTTGAGAAAGTTTTTGGCAAAAAGGGTATCAAATGGGCCTGCCCAATGTATTATATCAGTAATTGCAGCTGGTGCAATCCTTTTAAGCAAAAGCTTGCCTTGTTTATTTTAAATATTTAATAGCATATTGTGTTATTATGAGCAGCAATGCAGTAACTGCACCTCCAGAGTTTCTCTGTAGTACCCTCTTCTTACGACCAGATGCATCTTCACTCACAATATGAAGAATCATTTAAAATGCATTGAAGACAATCCTGCCCTAATACGACCTAGATTATTTATCACGCCTAATAGGCAATGAACCTTATAGGCCAAAAAAAGTCGTAATTGACTCATGACAGCCACAATCTTTTTAATAGAAACACACGCAATCCATGTAAGAGAAGAG